CATCATAGCTCTTTCTATGATTAGTGCATTTTTTCAAAAGTATTTTTATCATCTTCAAATATACAAATTATTAAATCTAATAAAAGTGACATTAAATTATTTGTAAATTTAATAAAATAAAAGATTGTTATGGGTACATATATAAGATTACAATAACTTATAGTATTTCTTAATTAATAGAAATACTATCAATGTATAGTTGCAAGAAAATTAAGACATTAAATAATTTTAAAATAAGTTGCTGAAAAAAGTATTATCTTCTTTTTATATAATATTAATATAACTTACACCTATCTGACAAAAAAAAAGAAATCTGTTATTTCTTCCTAATCTAAGGTTCTTTTTTTATGGATAAGATGGCGCTGTAATATTTAACACACAAAATTTAATCACGAAAACATAGAAATACAACGACGCTAGCTTCACGAAACGATTATCAATTATTGTTTTGTAATGATCTAATAATAAATATAATTAACGTTTAATCCTTTTAATTTTAGATAAAACGATTCAATTTAATACGTCCTCGATCAAATCTCATAAAGCGTACAAATTGTGCAATACTCATAAACATATACTTTATATTTTAATAATTCAATTTCATGTTAATTAGAAGATCATAAAACGCAAAACATTTTTCGTTATTACACGTCTTATTTAACACAATTCTCGAATAAATATTGAGAATAAATGGAATATCAAAAATTATTGGATTCCGTCGATATTTTAGGTTACGCGGGAATATGCACAAGCACGGAATTTTCTCAGCTTTTAAAAAATTCCCTCTTGATATTGCAAAAAGAAAATCACTTTCGTAAATGTTATTATTGGGGGAAAATAAATGGCATACAAAAAGATTATCACATTGCTTTTGGATATAAAAAAGATTGTATGAACGGACAAATATATTACTACAGGTTATAAAAATGTCTACTCCCAGGAAAGAGGATCTACGTAAAAAAAAAAAAAAAAAAAAAAAATCCATCTCAAATGATATGTAATTAAAATATAAATAATATTTTGATCTCTTCTATACAGTATGGATGGATTAAATTGGTTGTTATTACCGAAGTCACCAAAGTATGCAAAATTTTTAACACCCCTGGCCATTAACAAATTCGAAGGAGAACCATCAATCGTTACAAACGTTTACGATTCCAATCCACCATTTCCATCAAACGAAGATCCTAAACAATATTACAACGTATGATAATTGGATCATCGTGGAATTATCTTATCAATTTACTTGGAACATATTTTTATATATATATATATTTTTTTTTCTTTTCTTTTTTTTTTCAGGGACCTATACCAAAGGAATTAAAGGAAGAAGATCGTTTGGCAACCATTGTCGAAACGATTACGGAAGATGCAGTAATTATTCCTCGTGGTGGATGGTTCAAATGTTCAAGCGGAGACATCATAGAAAACATAGCATTCGAGGGATTAGATTTAACAGACGCGTCCAATCTTAAATCCTATCTACATGCACGTCCACCTCAACAAAAATGGAATACCAATTTATTAACAAGACCTGATTACAATTATGCCACTGATTTTCTTGATACCATTGATCTGGATGTTCCTCATGGTATTTAAATTATCTTAATCGTATTAAGAAAATTTAATAATAGAAAAATATTTTAACCTCGAACGATTGTACCGAGTTAATATTTTCCGATTGTACCGAGTATATATATATATACATATATATTATATATCTTACAGGATGCTGGAATCTGCAACTTATTTTGGAAGCACGTTTAATTATCCTACACAATTTATATTGGCCTGGAATGACATTTTATCACAAATTGAATACTCCTCATTACGGTTTTTTATACGTCGGAAATGGTAAGAAGAATATGGATTTACCTTTTATGGTGTAACGCAATAATAAATAAATTGGTAGAATAAATCTCCTTCTAAAAAAAAGAAAGAAAAAAAAGAAGAAAAAAGATATCGCCAAAGTATTTGTTCGATTAATTATTATAAAAAAAAAAAAAATTAAAATAGTATTTATTATTATTTTATATATACATATATATATATATATATATATATATATATATATATACACATTACATATATTTCTATATTTCTATAAATTCATATACGTATATATATATTTTGACTATGGTATTACGGTTTTCGCGGGAGCGCAAATAATTCGACCAATCAAAACGCAGACTTTAGAGTAGATAGATTGGATCGTTTGAAAAGTACGCGAGAAGATGGCGACACCGTAACAGCAGAAGGAAGGACGAGTTTCGAGTCGCAATATACAACGGACACAGGCGCAGTGACCGGCTTAGAGAGACGGAGTGAAGTGACGTTGCCAGTAACACTGCGAGAAGTCCCGTTTTTTTTCCTTAGAAATTTCCTCTGGATAATTTGGTCGTCCTTACCGGTAAGTAGAGAATTTTTATATTTTATATATATCTATATATATATAGATTTTTTTTTCTTTTTTTCCCCCCTTACCTCTACCCCCTGCCTGTCTGCCCGTCCGTCCGTCCATCCGTCCGTCCTTCCATCCGTCCATCCGTCCAACCGCCCGCCCGACTAAATCGCATACAGAATCAAACGTATCAATCGTGTCGTTAGATCGGAACGAGAAAACGTTTACTTTTATGAACAGCGTAATAAAATGGAAAAAAGAATAAGATGGGTGGGTGGATGGGGGTTAACGAGGAGAAAGAATATACAACAAAAAAAAAAAAAAAAAGAAAAAGAAAAAAAAGAAAGAAAAAAGAAAAGTGTAGACTTTTTTCAGTGGCTGCCCTTCACGAACCCCGAGCGCGTCTTGCCTTGCCTTGCCTTGCCTTCTTGCTTTGCCTTGCCTTGCCTTTGCCTTGTCTTTGCTTTCCCTTGCTTATGCCGGGTGACGCCGGTTCATTCCGGGATATACGTTCTTTCATGAACACGTGAAGAGAAGGATTATCCTATCTATCGTAATACCTTCGAAATATCGTATAACGATCAATCGGAGTACAATCATCCGTCAGCATATTTTTTCTTTCTATTCTTTTCTTTTCTTCTCTTTTTCGACGTCGTGTTACAAAAATCGTCGTACATACGCGCGAAAAAAAATAAAGTAACAAACTATCTTTTGTTAGCGATATGCTCGGATAGAAATTAGGCGCGGACGCAACTCGTTTCTTTCTCTCTCTCTCTCTCTCTCTCTCTCTCTCTCTCTCTCTCTCTCTCTCTTTCTCTCTCGGCCTCCCCTCTTCCTTTCTATTCATCTATCTATCTTTCTCTATCTTCTCGTCGGTGACAGGCGGCGTTCTCGTCTTCTTCGTTCCTTTCTTTCTTCCTTTCTTTCTTCCTTTCTTCCTTCTTTCCTTCCTTCCTTTTCTTTCTTTCCTTCCTTTTCTTTCTTTCTTTCTTTCTTTCTTTCTTTCTTTCTTTCTTTCTTTCTTTCTTTCTTTCTTTCTCTTTCTTTTTCTCATTCGTTCGAAATATCCTTCATCGATTTCTATGTTCTCATGAAAAATAAAAATTGTATTATTTTTTCTCGAAATATTTTTCTACATTAATAAAAGCTCAATATAAAAGCGACATTTTTCTTTACACGTTAAATACGTATATTACATATATTACATATACGTATATATATATATATATATATATATATATATATATGTATATGTAATATATAATAAAAGAATATTATTATTTTTATAGTTATATACGTCATAATAACATGTGTTTCTCTTTCAAGAGAATATTTCCAATATTTCTTCTTCCGTAAATATTTTCTATAAAATTTTTATTGTTTCGTATAGTGAAACGATATTAAACGTTTCTAGTATGGTCGAGCATGTTTATTTTTGTTTTGTTTTGTTTTGTTTTGTTTTGTTTTGTTTTCTTTATACTTTTTTTGTCTTCTTTCTTTCTTTCTTTCTTTTTTTCTTTCTTTCTTTCTTCTTTCTTTTTCTTTAACACGAATGTAGATTATTATATTTTTTCTTTTACTCTAACATTTTACATTGTCATTATATATATATGTACATATATACATATATATCCTTCGTTGAGAGAGATCATAGACTTTCAACTTTTTCAATGTCGAAAATCATTTGAAAAAAACTCTAAATAACATTTGTAAGTTGTAACATTTGTACGTTTCTTGTGTATACGTTTGTTTTTTATTTTTATTTTCTTTCCTACAAAACTTTTATTACAATTTAAATTACATTAACCTTTCATTTTTCTTTTTTTTTTCCTTACCTCCTTCATATTTTTCTTTTTCTTTTTCTTTTTTGCTTCTTCCTCACCGAGAAAGTTTGTTCGTAGAATGGTGATATCGTGAAATACGAAACTCCGATTGGTCAATCGAGAAGGCGACCCTCCTGATTGGTGCACATTCGATCGTACTTAGAGATAATGAAATTCATTTCGACGAGAACATTATTGATCTCTCTCTTTCTCTCTCTCTCTCTCTCTTTCTCATTGGTCCAATTTTCTAATTACCATTACGATTAATTAATATTATTTCTGATTAGTGTGACAATCTGAATTTTGTTATATATGCATGGTGTGTGTGTGTGTGTGTGTGTGTGTGTGTGTGTGTGTGTATGCGTGATTTGTGTATATATAATATTTGTATGTATGTATGTATGTGTTTCCTTTTTTATACAAAATATAATCAATTAATAATTATCGAATAGAAACATTTAATAATTGTTGTTGTTGTTGTTGTTGTTGTTGTTTTTATTATTATTATTATTATTATTATTATTATTATTATTATTATTATTATTATTAGTGTATACTATAGAATATATTCGAATGAATACTTTTATTCTGTTTTTGTATATCTTTTATGATATACGTATATTTTTCTTGTAATATATTTTCAGTTGTATTCGTTTTGATTTTTCTCTCCTTCTCTCTCTTTCTCTCTCCCGTCTGTCTGTCCTCTGTCTCTTTCTCTCTTTCTCTCTTACTCTTCCGCTTTTTCTCCATCTCTCTTACATGTCGCGTTTGTTGAACGATGAAACACACGACCGACTTGATTCAAGGTTAGCCGGGTCAACCTAAATTACGAACCCGTTGGCGAATGAAAAAAAGAACGCTTTTTAGTCTTTTTCACATATTCGTTTTCTTTTTTTCTTTTTTTTTTTTTCTTTCCGTTTTTCTCCCTTATTTTTTGTTTTTTTTTTGTTATAAATCTGCATGTCGACATAACCTCTCTCTATATTCGACTTTAGGACAATTGACGATCATCCGATATTTTGTTTTATCATTTTTTTCTTTTCTTTTTGTTTCCTTTCTTTTTTTTTTTTTTTTTCGTTTTACTTCTTACCTCCTTTTAAATAAATATTGTATTAAACGATACGTATTTTTTTTTTTTTTTTTTTTTTTTTTTTTTTTTTTTTTTTTTTTATTGAGATCAAATTGTTATTGGTTTGAATTTTAGAAATTGAGGTTACTTCTCTCTTTACCACTTTCTTTCTTTCTCTTTCTCTTTCTCTTTCGTTGATAAAGGAGAGTAGGCTGCCTGTTAAGTATCTCAAGCATATCCCCGAGGGTAATAAATTAATCTCATTGTCTGCCAATTATAAAGTTCAGATTCTTTCTTCCTTCTTATTGCTCATTCAAGGTCCACGTTTTCTATGTAATATCATCTTGGAAATTTTCTTCCTCCTTTTTTTTCGCCATCTTGTTTCTTTTCATAAAAGTAATAAAAAAAAGGAAAAGAAATAAGATACGCTCTCTCAAATTATATATATATATATATATATATATATATATATATATATATATATACATATGAATGTATACAAATAAAGTATATATATATGTATATATAGATATATTTATAGACGAAGGAAGAGGAAGAGATAACAATGAAATTTTATAAGAATCGACAGAGGAACTTCTTTCCTGTCGTTTTTATTTGATGAACGAATTTAATTAACAAATTTTTTATCTTTTTAAATTTATTATTGTTATTATTATTATTATTATTATTTAAATTATTTAACGAAATAGGATTTGTTTGTTTGTTTCTTTTTTTTTTTTTTGTGACGGACTATATACATATATAATATCGTTTTGATTTACACACAACGGACATAGAACGAATATTTGCTGATCATTTGCAATACGAATTAAATTCTCATGTGACCTTGATGCATATATGTATATATTATATACACATATATACGTTTCTCGATAGTTTCTCGATATATACATGTGTGTCTATACAGGGTTGGCCAAAAGTTCCTAACTGATTCTACGAATCAGTTATTCCCTTTTGAGATTTTTTTTTCTTTTTTTTTTATCATTTTTATTAATTGTAAAATTGCAAGCCTAATTATAAGCTTAAAGAATCACGAAATAAAATGATAATTGAGTTTTAAGGTCATCTGGAAACTTTTGGTACACCCTGTATGTACGTATATATTTATATATAAAAGTACGAACACGTTCATTCCATTAAAAAAAAAAAAAGATTTATAGTAATCATGTTAAAAAAAAAAAAAAAAAGATAAGGTAGGCATTTTTCCATTCTGACAAAGACATTTAGCTTAAACGAATCACTGCGAGAAATAGGAGTACTAGGTCTTAATTCGTGACTAATCCATCTTTACATGACGTATCGTGATCATGCAAGGATGTTAAAAAGAATGGAAGCTTATCATCGTCGTAAAGAAATTCCCGCGAACGATTAAAAACGTTTCTTTTTTTCTTTTCTTTTTTTTTTTTTTTTTCTTCGAACGTGTTTAACGCAGTGGTGAAAAATTCTTGATGCTTTGAAATTAAAACGATAACGAAAGAAGAAGAAAAAAAAAACAGAAGAAAAAAAAAACAAAGAAATATAGGTACAGTTTCTATACATTATAAAAAGAGATTCGAAGTGTTATAGTAATATTGAAATAATTTTATTTATTCTAACGAATAAAATTTATAGATATTATAATCCAATGATAATCTAATGTTTTTGTATTTTATATATTATAATAAGATAATATTTAGATTAGTTAGAGAGAAATCATAAAAAAAAGAGTATACTATTTACAAATTAAATCAATATATTTATCTATATATCTACAATAACAAACATATTTCTTTGGATAGAATATTGATTATAGATGAATTAGAATTGAAATTAACTATATCTTACAAAAATTAGTTTCTTTATTTTTTTTTTTTTTTTTCTTTTTTTTTTCATACTCGTACGCATAAAAGAAAAAAGAACCCCATTAATCGATTCATTTTATTTCAATCGTTCATCATTATCAATCTATCAAATTCTATGATTACATACATACACACAGAGAGAAAGAGAGGGAGAGAGAGAGAGAGAGAGAGAGACATGTACACACAACGCACATATAAAATTGTAAGATCAATTTTTTTTCTCAATGTTTCCTTCGATAAGCGATAGAATTTATT